TTATTATTATTATTATTATTATTCTCATCTAAGATACTTTAAAACAGAAACATGATGGGGCAAGAGAAGGAACATTCATGTGGTTCACCTTGTAGATAACAAATGTAGGAGAAGATGGTAGGAAGAATGGAAGACACAGGAGAAAAGCTAAATCTGCTCTTACTTCACACGCTTACCATTTTAACAAATGAATTCTTTTATTCCCCTGGAAAACTACAAATCCTGCAGCTGTGAATCCTAAAAATGTGGTCATCCCCGTTGAGTCCTTGAAAGAGAAAAAAGAAATATAATTCTTCCCTCATCCAATGATGTATTTCTTACTGATTGCATAAATTGTTACTCCACTATCGAATCATAGAATTATAGAACAGTTTGGGTTGGAAGGGACTTTAAAGATCGTCTAGTTCTAACCCCACTGCCATAGGAAGGGACACCTTCCACCAGATCAGGTTATACAAAGCCTTATCCAACCTGACCTTGAACATGTCCAGGGATGGGACAGCCACAACTTCTCTGGGAAACCTCTTCCTGTGTTTCACCACACGCATTGTAAAAAATTTCTTCCTTATATCTAATCTAAATCTAACCTCTTTGAGTTTAAATCCATTGCCTCTTGTCCTATCACTACATGCCCTTGTAAGAAGTCCCTCTCCAGCTTTCCTGTAGGCCCCCTTTAGGTACTGGAAGGCTGCTAGAAGGTCTCCCTGGAGACTTCTCTTCTCCAGGCTGAACAATTCCAACTCTCTCTGCCTGTCTTCACAGGAGAGGTGTTCCAGCCCTTGGATCATCTTTGTGGCCCTCCTCTGGACCCACGCCAGTAGGTCTCTATCCTTCTTATGTTGGGGGCCTCAGAGCTGAATGCAGTACTCCAGGTATATAGAGGTAACAGACTACCTCTATTTTGTTTTCCTTTTTGAAACACATTTTCTCTTCAAACTGTACGCTTCTAAAGAACAAAGACTGCTCTTGGCAACACAGGTCTCATTTATTTCTTGGCATTTAAGTGAGTAATAGCATCTTATGCTTTGTTTCCATCTATGTGTAGCTGACAACAACGGGGAATCCTTAGCCATACTTACTAATTTTGTTGAAAACACTTCTGTATGTGTCCCACTCTTAATGTGCTGAATAACTACAAACCAGAGATTCATATCTGCTTCAACACTTGGTATTTTTTAAGATTTCACAATATGTTGTTCCTCTCAGAGATGGTGTGTTGGAAGTACTGCTGACAGACAGCATTTCCTACAACAAGTAAGTACTCTTGAGTACAAACCAGAACATGTGGTGATACTTGCCTTTGAAATAGGAAAGACCATTTTTTAAATTTTTAATTCCACAATAAAAGTTCTGGCTCATAGTCTTTGAGCAACGATTCAGATAAGTTTTGTATTAACTGCATTTCCTGCCCATCCCAAGTTCCAGACCCTCACCTTGCTAAAGTTAGTCAACTTTATTATGCCTTACGTTCCACCAGTAGAATATGGGGGAACAGAAGCAGTGATACTTCTGAATAGCAGCCATGGCACTGGAAGCACCAAGTCATAAGGAGCCAGGGAAGCACTTTGCTTTGCAGTTCATTTCCAGAAGACTGAAAAATTTTCCTTAAGCACAGGCTGTGAACCCCTGTGTGTCCCCACACTACAGGCCCTGCCACACAGGAAAAGTGGAAATTCTGAGCCAGTTTTGGTTCTGTCCTAAGTGCCAACATAAGTCTCTGGGATGTCCTCTGAAAGTCTGCAGTACGGTTTCAAACTGAAGCTTACTAGGTTGCTGACTTCACTGAGCTCTGAACCAAACCCTGTATTTCACACAGGAGCACCATTCCTAGCGAAGCAGATGTGAAATTTGATGCAGCTTTATGTTAGAGCTGACTGTTTAAGGATGGTCACCACCAGAACAGCTAACTGGACAGCACTGGCATACAAGCCAAAGTAAAAGAAAAAATTAAAACATGAAGCAAGTAAAACTAAAAACAAACACTGCAGGTTATGCGGATAAAACCAAGTAATTAAAAATGCAGGTGTAAGGGATAATCAACTGGTAAATAAAATCACCTTCTTATAGAGAACCACAAAACAGCAAAGTAGAGGAATATGAAAATGCATATCCCATTCTGCCCTCTACACTCAGTTTGCTCTTCTTCCTAAGATTTGCATATCTTGACGATGTTAGAAAAACTAATCTGCCAAGGACTAACAATTTGGTGCATTTTGTGGACAGAATAATGCTAAATCCCAATAATCTTGGCAGACACAATATATTTCACACCTGGAGTATTTAGAGAAACCTTTGCATTAAATGCAAAGAAATTATGAGTATAACCAAACCTTTTGATGTGATACTCTACTACATTCTCCTATGATGTTCTGCTTCCTCTGGCAAGACCCTTCCTTTGACTGATGCGGAAACGTCAACCCGTCAATGCTTTTCGAAGGCTTAAAGGTAGTATGAAGTCCAGGGCAAGTTCTTTTATAAATTACTCTCTATTTGTGGAGGAGTAATTTTTATATTTGTGCCCAGATATAAAACAGCTAAATCAATTCAATTAATAGTTTTTAACTAGATGTTACAAAAAAAAAGAAGAACATTTTATTAAATGTTAATAAAAAGAATCGTTACCTTGCAAGGATGTGGATCAACACCATAAGTTTCTAAAGAATATGCTTTCAGGAGCAAGTTAAATTCAGCAACAGCTGGGCTCTGACCTCTGAAATTACAAAAGAAACAGCAGTTTGAGAGCAAAAAGAAAATAGGAGAAAAAGACTTTTTGACTGGAGAGTTTAAATGCCTAAAAAAGGAGGAAAGAATAGTTCTTACTAAAATACAAACTATTTCAACCATGTTCTGTTTATAATATAAAGATAGAAAACTTTTCATGTGTTTTCTCCTG